GAACGAACAAGGCTGAGAACGTCCAAAATCATCAAAAACAAGAGAAAAGTCCCAACTCATGTAGTTTCAGAAGTGCTCCTACTCCCTAATTCGTGGCAGATGGCTATGAAAACTAGGCAGCCGCTTCCTGGAACAGATGAAGTAGTTTTGAGCAAAAATCACGAAGAGAGAATGGACGAGCGCACGAGAGCCCATCTATCCGGATCTATCCGCTCAGGCAATTCACCGGAACTTCCGCAGGACAAGCAGAACTTACAGCGTTTCCGTAGCACTTTTTAAACCATTGAGAAAGTGCACGCTCCAAAATGCGAGGTTTCCGCAGGAAATTGACGTCACAGCGATCGTAAACCGGAACTTCCGCAGCACTTTCCTTAAAGCGCTGCGAAAGTGCAGCGAGGCTCGTAAGGTTTCTGCAGCACTTTGACCTGCCAGCATTTCCGCAGGACCTTGAGAGCGCATACACTCGCGATTGCGAAATAGCGAACGCATCTTCAGCAATCAACGGCGCATAGCGCATCGCTTTCTGTTCTTCCTCTATTCTCTCTCTTTTTTCTTTGTTTCTTCAATGTTGGCGTAAGTAAACCTATACTCATCCATATTCTAATTGTATGTATTCTTGCAGGCATTGGTGCAGGTGTGTGAACAACCATCACCAAGCTGCTGGAGTGCTCAAAAAGGACTCAATGGAGGAACTTCATTCAAGCATAACGCTCTTGTTCAGGTATGTCAAACTTCTTTGCTTTCTTTGCTTTGTTTAAAATAATAACGCAAATTGAAACTATTACTTTGTAGAAAATATATATATATTGAATCTAAACAAAGCACAAGTAATTCGGTAGAAGTATATCACAACAAGGCGGGGAGTAATGGGTCACAAAGTTTTTGAGATTTACAAGCTCTTGGTGGATAATAAAATATTTTAAAAAATTACAGGATTCAAAGTATTAGGTGAGATCAAAAGTTCTTTGGCCAGTTTTTCAAAAAATCATAACTTCCTTTCGAATCAATGGATCTCTTTGAATTTACATTTTTCCAAAAGAGGAAATCATTCTGTTTACAGCAGTATTTTTGCCATAATTTGGCATGAGAAAGTTCGAAAGTTAGAAGCAACTGAGGAAAATTACACAAGGTGCATTTTTCAAGCAGGGTCACAAAAATTTTGAAAGTATTTTTGTCCGAAAAAGAAAATTGTGCTCTTTACTATAGTGCCTTTTTACAAATCAAAACGAAAAAGGAATTAGAATTAGAATTAGAAGCAAACAAAGAAAATTCAGTTTTGCAATTTTTGAGCATGCTCAAAAAAGCCCCAAAACATCACAGAAAAGAAAGGAAAGTTATGAGCATACGTTTTGTGACCTTCTCTTTCTAGCTAGGAAACCTGCCAATCGAGAGCAATTTTGATTTTCGTAATATTAGGTTGTCCCGAAAGTTTTGTCCGATTTTTTCATCGCTCAATTTTCACACGCCAAAAGTCCATATGTTACTTTGGCAGGCTTTAATCTGCACAGAAATGTAAAAACAAGAAATTCTTGAAAAATGTCGTTTTGCAGAAAAAATCCCCTTATATATAATAGTTTTTTTCATAAAGCACTGTTTGGCGCTTCGAAAAACTTCACAGTTTTTAAATAGGCACTATGCGTATTTTTTGTCCCAAACGCGTTTCTGCGGAAAAATTACAGCGATAAGGGAGTTTTTTCGGTAAAATGAGATTTTTCAAGAATATTACATTTTTGTTATTACATTTTTGTACGAGATCAAAGCCTGCCAAAGTAGTATATGGAAAAGACGTGTGGAAAATTTTTGCAGATTTTTTTGGATTAGCTAGCGGCCCTCTGTGATTTTCTAGCACCAAACTCAAAATCGCAGAATTTGAATCGTCATATTTAAAGCTTCGTTTTCGGTAACTAACTCACACAACGTTTAGCTTATACATCTGTTGTGGAGCGCAAATCTTTTTTTATTTTTGAGCTACCGAGCCATCAGTTTAGGTGTATTTTTTGAATAGTTATTGAATTTTGTTTGCATTACGCAAGAACTTTCGGGCCAACTAATATTTTCTAAGTAGTAATAATCTATGAAAATTCAACAATAATTTATAATAACTTTCACTTACATATACCGTCTTAGAGACTGACACATACGTGTTTTGTTTGGAAAATGCTGGAATATTAGGTTGAATAGAAAGTTCTGTCGCTCCAAATTTGAAAATTCCAAAAATTCAAGTCGAAGTAAAGCCTTAATTTTTTGCAGAAAACTCTTAAAATTTTCAAATCTATCTCAGAGATTCTCTTGTTGAGATTTCGAAACTTCCGAAGATTTTGAATAAATCGTCCAAACTTGCTCCTATTTCTTGGTGAAGAAGTTTCAAAATGGAAAATTTGCGGCAAGATACGTTTAGATCAAGAAATTCAATCTGTTTATTACAGAAAGGAAGGGGGCCGAAGCCGGCTTCAGTCGCGCGGACATGGTCAAAGTGACAACCGATGAATGGAAGCGGGCTAATTTTCCATAGCATCTTTCGACGCATCTTCGCGTTGAAGCGCAACTTACCTCTTGTGAATAAGTTGTCATTCTTGCCTTTACTTTATTCGTCTACCTATATCATTGCTTTTTGATCCCTAGTATTTATCGATTCCATTCTTATTCGCTTATGCTTATATATTCATATATATTATATTTGCTTCCGATTCTCATGTCTATACATATGTATATTTGAACATTAGTTCATTATTTTTTTGATTTTCAGCCTCACTGATCTTGTTTAATCTCAAGTGCATTATCAACCTGCATCTTGTTGTATAGATGGTGCTTGCATACATTGTGCCATCTGCTTTTTGAATAAAACTATTTCGCTGTCTACGTCTCTTAGCATCTAGAAAGTCTGGAGGAATTTCCACATCAAAGGAATAATGCCTTAGTAAAAAGCGGAAACCTAGTATTGAAAGGGAAAACCTAGTATCAAAAAGGAAGTTTGATATGGAAGAAACGGTTCGCGATTTAGAAGCGCAAAGTGCTGCGGAAATCCTGCGAAAGCGCTGCGGAAACCCTGCACCCTGAGATTGCAGGGTTTCCGCAGCGCTTTCGCAGGATTTCCGCCGGGTCACCTGCGGAAACCTTGCGAAAGCGCTGCGGAAGTTCCGGCCAGTTGTCTGAGCCGGATACATGGAGCAGAACAGCGTTCAATCCTCAACCCCGCTTCAAATTCACAGCTTTTCTCATCACTAGGAGAAGCGGGGTAGAAGAAAGAACGGAGAAGCAACGACGTGGAAAAACGAACAAGGCTAAGAACGCCCAAAATCATGAAAAACAAGAGACAAGTCCCAACTCATGCAATTTCAGCATTTCTCCTACTCCCTAATTCGTGGCAGATGGCTATGGAAACTGGGCAGCCGCTTCCTGGAACAAATGAAGTAGTTTTGAGCAAAAAACAAGAAGACAGAATGAACAATCGCACGATAGCCCATCTTTCCGAATACACGGCGCAGAAAAGCGCTCATTCTTCAACCCCGCTTCGAGTTCGCAGTGCTGCCGATCAAAAAGGGAAGCGGGTTGGAGGATTAAGGCCAAAATGAGTGAAATCTGGAAGAAAAACCGTTGGGAACGGTCAAAATTCTCCAACTCCCGCCGTTCAAAACGGTGCGGGGCGGCTGCAGCGCATGCAGCACAGTTCTGGAACTGTTCCCGCACAGTTCCCGCACAGTTCCCGCACAGTTTCAGCACAGTGCGAGAACTGTGCGGGAACAGTTTCAGAACATGGGAATCAGTATGAACGCAGCCTAAGCTGGGATCGTTCCCTTGTAAGACGGAAAGCGCGCCCCAAATAATCGAAACGCGCGGGAACGGCGTCTCTCAGTCCTATGACTGCGTTACTTTGATATTTCTCTATCCTTCATCATTTTTCTTGCTTATTCTTTTTCCTGTTCTCTATCTTGGTACAAGTGATGAGTAATTAGAGGAGTTTGAACATTTTGAGCGCTTTTAAGCGCTTATAGGCGAAGTGTGGCCGGTGCTCTCGTTGCACAAGCACAAAGCATCGTTTTTGGGCTTAAGGGGGTATTCGTAAAAAATTATGGACCAAAGGGGAATTCGTTTTGGAAAACCCCGTTTGCCCACATCGTGCCGGGCTCTGTACTGAACCAGTTCTAGTAATCTAAAGGGGGAGACGGCCCTTCTGAACCGCTAGCATTAGCAGCCTAATTACTGCGCGCCTCTGATTGGTCGGCGCTGGCGGCGCTTGGGTAGGCGAGAGCTATGCTGTTAGGCATCTTCTTGGTAAAAAGAATCAAACAAGATTTCGAGTTTCCCATGAAACTCAAAAATGTTATACATGGCCGGCTTAGATTAATTCTTCAGCTTACACATGTAGATTTCATGGTGTTTTGAAAAGTGTGAAGGGCGAAGAAATCACGAAAGGCCAGCAAAAAATGCGTCTTTTCCAAATTCTTTTTCCTAATCAAACATCGTCACTATCGTTATTCGTGTGCCTCGCTTGCTTTGGAATGCTCAGAAATGAAAACTTTGACAGATTATAAGAAAGGCGGAGTAATTAGCGCCGCCCAGGCAGTGTTATTAACGCTAGGACGAAGCGGTTCAGAAGGGCATACACCCATCTAAAGGTGCTAGATTTGCATCCGCGCACTTCGGGACCGCATTGCGGTTCCCGCTACCTGATATTTTGTGAAATGGCCTTACAATTCTTTATATATCGAATTCCTCCGATAAACCCTCCGATACTACACACTTCTACTTTCTCTGTTTCTAATCTAAACATACTTGCTCTGATTCATTCCCTCAGCCGACACGCCCCTTTCTTGGCAACAATATTCAATATGAAAACTTGTTCATAAGTGGAGAGGAGAGACATCTTCAACCAATATGTACATACAACTTGCACAATAATTGAGTTTCACAATAAAGATGGAGCAATGTTATGAAAGAACGAAAAGTGAAATCATGAATGCTATGAATTTTTGATAAACTCTTGTGCAGATATTTTTTCGTTAACCTATTTCTCCGTCCTTACGATCCCTAACTATGATCACACGAGGCGCTTGAATATGAATCATTCGTAACTCGGCCACAAATGTCAGAATGAATAGTTGCATAGCCAGAACCATTCCCCATTCTGTGGTTGTTGCGGCTATCAACCTTTTATAGAACTGAAAAGGACTGATTGTTTAGAGGTATTTATGTTCTATAGAGGGGCTCATACCGGTGACTGTTGGGAACGGTCGATTTTGTTGAAGCCGGGAAAAGCGCCGGCACCTTTAGCATCGAATATATTTGAGTAACCAGCCACATTTTCTGAAAAAGTCATTGGGGAAATAAATAGCAAAAATGCATAGCAAATTGAAGGGCTTCACTGTCTGGGTACATTGGAAAATAAAACTTTGATGTCTAATGTCCGTCTTATTGTAGAAGATAATGTTACCGAATGGAAATAAAAGTGGCGATCAAAAAAGATTTGCTGATATTTTCCTCTCATTAGGCAAAACAATTGTACGATATTCTTTCTCAAAGATATATAGATCGATATAATCACTTACGAACGATCAAGCAGCCAGTGGTGACGATCATGATAAGCAATCGAAAATGACAAAGCAGCAATGATATGAGTCGTGGGTTGACCGTATAGCTAAAATGAATGAATAGATAATTCTGATGAATACTTCAAAGAGAAGCTTGCATGCAACTTCAAAATTTACTCTCTTTATTCATTTAGTTTATTTTGAATCATCTTTCATTTAAAACGTCTCACACTTCAGAGAAAGCTGCTCTCAAATCTTTTGCCAACAAATGCGTCACCTAATTAAAAATACAAGAATGGGAAAAATGCGAATCTTTTGTCGCTTGCAGAACGAGGCGCAAAACGGGAAAATCATTTCCTTAGCAATTTCCTCAAGAACTGTAACTTCCCATGAAAAATATTTAAGCAACTCAAATGTTGTTCAGTCTAAAAGAGTAGGTCAGAGGACTTCTGCTCGCATAGTTTTTATACCTTATTGAGCCTGCCTAGAATCACCAAAGTTCAACCTTTGTCTCTAGTCAAAGCTTATTGAAGGGTTGCAAAAGTTATGGAAGTACACGACTTACTCTTTCTGGTAAAGCTAAACCAGGCATGATACGACAAACTTTCGGTTCAAACTATTAACAAACAAGATCTTTTAGTAGATTACAAGGTTTGCGAACGAATTATCTCCACCCGTGTAAAAGCGAGGCTTTTTTGGAAAGAAAAGATGGAAGGGATACAAATCGACGATCGATGTATTCCACCAAGGAAAAGAAAGTTTGTCTTAGAATGACAAAAAATAAAAACAGATTGTACAACTTTTCCTTCAACTAGCTTCGAGAATGCTGCTTTCGAAAACTTTCCGTTTAAAATGGCAATTAACTTGCTTTATTCTTCAAAAAAGTGTTATTAATGTGCAAAAGCGATAGTTCCAGTCCATCGAGAAGCCCAGTCTTTTCCTCCCACTTTTCTCCTTTTTTCCTCTATTAGAATCCCACACTTGCTTTTAGCATAACCTTGACTCATCAAGGATCACAATGAATCTTCTATGGTACAGATATGTTTTTTGCAAAACTCAAAACTCACGCGAAGATTACATGACCCCATCCATATAGCACCATGGTGAAGAAGCCCAATAGTGCGCCAATTTGGTGTACTGTACCTATTTCGGTGTACTGTAACACAAAAAATCAATTAATTTTGGTATACGGTGTACAATACGAACTCACTCGAAAGTTTGCGACCAACATCAGTCCAAAGGCACTTGTATAACCCGTATACATCAACACTTGAGATCCGTACCACCATTTCGTTCTTTTGAATTTTTGATAATGTCCATAATATTCAAAAATTTGCAAATGTATTACGTAGACGGTGATGATATCTGTAAAATAATTTTGGACGTTAATTTTCTGAAGGATAGGACTAACTAACACAGAAAACTGGCAATGTTGAGAAGTTGTCCAAAAACAGCAGCTTCAGGTTCGTATGCTCCACCATCACTAAAAAAAAACAGAACTTGTTACTATTTTTTGATTGAATGGCATGCTTACCTGATCAAAGGAAGAAGTGGAGGGTAATGTTTGCTAATAATCCCGATGATATACCTAAATTTGCACATTGTAAGCGAAAATAGGGGTAACCCAACTTATTATGTCGATACATGAATCTTACAACAAAAATTTTCAAGATTTCTTTCTTCAACTTCAAAGAAAACATTTGATTCGACGCTTTGTAAATCTAGCAAATGTTATTGATTCCTGAGTTATTTTGAAAAAAGTCCTTGTTGCCATATCACATTACAAGCTGATCACAAACCTACTAAAATATCTTAGATTTTGATCTCAAAACAGACACAAATTCGATCGAAATATGAAACTACTTCCAACTCTGGTTTCATGACCTGATCTTTCTGTTTAACTTTTTGATTGGTCTCCAGATAAATGTGAATCTCAAATTTTTTCATGTAGCTTTTTTTCAGTTTAATCAAAAAAATTCTAATACGTAAGTTTGGTTTTATATTCTTTACAAAAAGTTTGTTATACAGTTTTAAAAATGGATCAAACATTTTTAGGCGATTTTTGCATACTATTTGGTGCAAGACTTAGGTCTGATAGCGCTATAGGCCCGTAGTAAGCCCCCAAGTGCATCTCACTCGACGCGGACCGGGGGCGAGCTCATCGCGCCTCAGTCCAGCATCCGGAGAGCTATTGATTTAGATGGAAATCGCTGTCTAGTCATGATAATCATGTGTGCCCTTGAAAAAGGCAACCACTTGAGTTGGTTTGGTCGAACAGGTAAGCGATTGGAATTGGAGGCGCGCGGCCATGGTTCGATACCGCCTAGCGACACACTTTTGCTGTATCGCAGGGCATCTTTGATAGCGACCACTATCGGAAAATCGATGATGACCTCTATCAAGGATTTCGCCTAGAAAACGCATGGATGAAACAACAAAGCATTTTTTGACGAAAATTTCATGAAAAATTGAAATAATTGCAACACGAATTTAACGAAATAAATCTACAAATTCTTGCCTTGAACAACTATTCAAAAAAAAGTGCAAACTTTGGAAAAAAGAAATAACGGTTTTTTGTTTTCCTCGCCAAAATCAGCTGTTCATTGATCCTCTCCTTTTCGGGCGCGGGTGTGCAGTTTTGCGCCGATTTTCTGCATTTTTTGGCAAAGCTGTGTGTATCGTAAGTTACTCAGGAGCAACTTATGTTAGATGCAGTCACCTCTTGTCTGCGTCTCCTCTTCTACACACTATTTGGATCACTCTAACATCCGTTCACGTTGAGGCGACTTGAACCTGAACTGATGTGGAAGAGTTGACTGCAGCAGGTGGACAGATCGTCAGCTATCAGTTGACTTGACCATCTTATAGCATGGTAGGGTGGGTGGTCATCAGTTCACCTCACGTGCGGTGAACTGATGGGTTAAGTTGAGTTCACCTCAACTGATCGAGCTTTACTACGGGTCATAGTCTCATTGTCAGATGTGAAATCATCTTACCCGCTAAACATTCCAGCCAATGTAAAGGCCACTGACAGCACTGGCATCAACCATATATGGCGAAGAATCATAGCAGTCGAATCAGGGCAATACTGCTGAAAAAACAGAGGTGAAATCAATAAATTTGCACATTTAAGAGAATTGAGGAAACATAAACAATTATGTAATTTCGTCGCAAGTGTTTTTTCAGCAAAAATGATGAAGGAAGCACACAGTTGAAGATTTTTTGTATAGACCGCAGATAATGCACAACATGCGAACACCCGTGTCGCGGCCGCAACGCCTACTCAGAGAAAGGGAGGGAAGAAGAGGGAAGACGTGGAAAGTTCATACGCAGACAGCTAAGTGAATATAGAAGTGACGCAAAGGCAGAAACGCATAGAATCTGAACATTAAATAGGTTTCGTGACAAATCATCATAGGCATACAGCAAAATAAACAAGGAAAACACGGTGACAGATGCTACCGATTACCCATGGGCTACGCATAAGCAACAAAATACAAAAAAAAGAAAGTTTAAAAAAAATTTTAAAAACTACTTACATCAATAATAATAGATCTATATTTCGAATGAGACTTGTCTTTCGCTAAAAGAATCATTGTGAAGCTTCCCACGTTTTTTAGGGCAAATTTTTGATGAGTAGTAAAACCCAGTACTTGTTTCTTATAATCATTCCCCAGAAACTCTAAAAGGCACATGACCGCTCAGACTGTCAGCAAACATCGCACTTCCAAATCGTCCCCTTGCCCTCCTTGTCGCCTCCGTCTGCTACAAAAGGACCATAAACAAGCGCAGAATAAAAACCACAACCTCACTCCTAGGCCTCTCCTCTCTTGTTACTGGGAAAGCTGGGGAAAAAGAAAGATGATGGCCTTTTATAATAATACAGATAAAGTCTATTTGAGTAACCATATAGAACATTTAAAGGGCGCGAGGACAGAAAACATCAGACAGCAGAAAAACGAGGTTTCTAGTCCTATTGTGACGCATATGCCCGATTGGGCTAGACCACTTAAAAAAACTAGTCTGTTCTACCTGTTCCTATACAAGGCCGATAAAGCCTAAATAAATGCGATAAGCCTGAACAACTCTTTCCTAACCAGACTGAATAGCCAACAAATTTGAACTAAACACACTCTTTATTATGGAAAGTGCTGGAAGATAATAGGTCCTAACAAAATGATACCATTTGTAGGTCTGACTTCTTAAGCGACTATACGAACATAGACAAGGAATAATAGCTCCATACGTGTAAACATACGAAGGGCGGTAAGGTAAATAATTCGAGTTCAACAATGCCGGAGCTCGAGGTAGTTAGAAGGGTGGCCGAATGTTCAGAGATCAAGTGCGGGACGCAGTCGGGGCTGCGTTAGCAACGAGCCGTTCACTAGAAACCAGCTGAGACTCAGGCGATCACATATGGAGTTGAAGCGCTTGTTGACAAGTCTACCTCAATGGGCACACGCGACTAGCTAGTCACTGTTGAAGGTTTTCAAATTGTTACGAGCATCGCGATATACATAAGTAGTTCGAGAAAATTTGGCAAATTTTCGAGTCCACTTGAGAACGACTACACTATATGGACCATTACAAGCAGACCCGTCTCGCGAATAGATCAGAAAGAGATTTATAAGAGTAATGCAGTTAACCCATTTTTTCATTCATTTGGTATTTCCATGGACGTATCTTCCCTGACAATCTCGAGAAAATTTATCAACCAAATCAGTAATTGCAAAAAAGGTAGAATGAGGAGAAAGACATTCAAGAATTTCTTCAAGTGAAAATTATTGCGATTATTTCCAAACGGTAGTAGTAATCTTGGAAAAACTTAGCATTCTTCATGAATATCCTTGAGTTGGGACATAATTATGAGAAGTGCGAGTTTTTAGTTCTAGCGCAAAAAGCTGAAAGAACTCCACATTCGGCTAACTCCGCCCATTTGCCTAACCACGCCCACTCCCGATATTTTCGAGGAAGCATGTGTCAGTCTATCCCAATTTTGGAGAAGAGCACGCATGACAACCTTTCGAGAGTAGACAACGAATTCGCCTTAAACGAGAGAGAAAGCTGTCCAATATACAATTTTATGATCATAGCCTATCGGGTTTACCCAGTATTAAACCCTGAAAGCCTATAGCAATTTGCAAGGGCTATGATATGAAAAAAAACGCAAACATGTCATGACTTTCCTATAGTTGACCTTGTAACCTGCTTGCCTTCACATCAAGGATCATGCAGCTTACGAAGCGAGTTTGTTCCAACACGACCACGGAAAAGAACCATGCGTGCATCCAAGTCTCAAAAAACAGAAAGAAGAGGAACAATTTTCTACAGGCGCTCTGCATATATTTCAACCCCAACACTTCAAACTGTAAAAAGTCAATATTTTTTCGCACTGATCCCATGTGGAGGTGATCGTGTTTGAAGTGTAGTACTTCACACCTCTGCAGGGAACAACAACAAGCACTCCCGATTTTCAGACCTATCCTATTCGTATGCATCATGCTCTGTCAACAAGGTGCATAAGTACCAGCCGCTTATGTTGACAGAGACTGTACTGTAGAATTTACTAGTTAGATTCATTTTTTAGTCATGTTTTTTGCAAGCTCAGATTTAGAGAAATGTTACTTAGGTTTGACTTTAAACTGTCTCAAATGGCTCAAAGGGCTGGGAGGGGGGACCTAACCTTGATTAAGTTCCGTATTATGCTTCCACTAAGTTGTCCAGAAGTTTTGTCTGTTTTGCATTTATTCAGTTTGCAATACTGTGGTGATACTTTTGACTCACGATGTTATTCGCGAATAATCAAAATCATTTTAGGAGCATAAAATGTTCGAATTGTCTGAAAAGGTTCAGGAGGGTGTAAATCTTGATTTTATGTATTATTCGCTTCCCACTGTGTGCGTTTATTCAGTTTGCAATACTGTAATGATTTTTTCCACGATTTTGTTCCCGACTAATTAAAATCTTCTGAGCAAATAAGTGTCATAATGGTATAAGCGTAGCAAGCGCGGGAAGAAATGAAGAGCAGGGAAAGAACTTCCTAACCCACCGAGTGTAACTCAAACTTTTGAAAAAAAATGCATTGAAGGTTGTGACAAAAATAGAGAAAAGCCTAGAAACAGTAATGTAAACTTTTAAGAGATGAAGTAAGTAAAGACTGGGAAAATCAAATTTTGCACGATATTCAACTAAAACACCGTATGGAGCAAGCAAAGAAGACTTTATGAAAACTATGCCACACAAATGAGAACCAAGGGTAAAGCTCGTAATCAAAGAAAAGCACAAAAATGGAAGTATCGTAATAATTATAACATGACAAAACGAAAAATATGACTCCCTATGAATTTACTGCACAATCTCCTCACGCCTTGTTTTGTGCATCATATTATGGAAAATTATGTATGCAGCAAGTGCGCGTGTTCGCTATTTGGGTGTTATGGTGTAGTGAAATAGTTGCATCATAATCATCTTTATTATTCAGAAAATAAATATTCAGAAAATAATAAATACTTTCAGTACTCTCTTGATAAGCATACCTGATATGCAAAACTCTAAGTGAGAGAGGTAGTTCAATGTGTGAACAGCAAGAAATGAGAGAAAATGAAAGGGCAAACTGAGATAAGAATCTTCTCCAGAAAATTTCCAAATGTGCAAAGGAACTGCTTGTCAAAGAACAAAACAATGTTCTGTATGCAAGAGAAGTGTTAGAAAATCCTTAAACTACGAATTAGCAGTCAAAATTAGTTTGGAAACAACAAATGTCAAAATGCACCATACAGATCCCTTGTTTATATGGTATAACAGCTGTGACTACAAAATTTTTTTCATCGATCAAATATAGTATTATGGTTAGATATGCACCCGTAGAAATATGAAGGATGAAATAAAATAGATGATTTATAAAAGTGAATACTGATTTGAGAATTCATCAACTGAATGTGAGATTGTATAGAAGATTCGATCAGATCTTCCGTGTCCTTTTACCAATCGCTAGCGATTTGATATGTGTGCCAGACTTGAACGATCCCTACTTTATACCATTGATTTCCTGAAAACCACAGCTCGATCATTGATCATGTAGGAGGGCACATATAACGCACCGTATTTTTTTCGGAAATTGTGGTGTTAAAAGGGAATATCACGAGTTGGAGAATCTGAAACAGATTCCTCTTGAAATTTTCTCTTGTCTGAAGGCATGTGCTCTCGTATAGCATGGTCGTGAATATGTAGGTATCGCTTAGAGCAAACAGGTAAACAGCGTGGGCAAATACTTTGATTGCTATTCCAAAGCTACATAGCCGTGAACGAGCTGCTTTAGTGCCGGGGTGAAGAGCCAGCAAAGTCATGGCCACGTAACCGAGTATCAGGTCACTACCACACTTTGTTTTCAAACAAAGTTTTCTCCTGAGAAAGTTTCAAGATGATTGCTATGGATAACAAATTGCTCAGATCAGAAATATTTTTTGCACAGCAATCTTAGGCAAAATAGATCTACCAGCTTTTTCAGAAATCTGTAGCATAATTCTCCTCCTCCCTCCCTCCCCCCCCCCCCCCATTTTTGTAAAATTACAAGCATTTTGGAAACTTGTTGCTTAAAAGTCCAAACAAGTAGGAATTTCCTTCTTTCCCTTACGCAAAAGATCTAAAGATGTGGTTATGATGGATTGTGCACCATTTCACTTGCTTGTGAAGTACTGAAGCTACTTTTTTTTCCTGATTCAAGTTTTAAGCTTCATTATAGCCCTCAAATTCTTTTTCACTAGCTTTTCGTATGGCTCAGAGTTTATAAATATCGGTCAGTACACAAATTATTATAAATGAGATTCTACATATGCTTGTACGAAAGAGGTCAAATGGAAAATGGACCGATCTATTGCACTCGATTCTTGAGACCGTTTTTCTAATACTCTTTGCTTGCAAGAGAAGATTAATTACAATTCATAAATTTGAGGGGCTCGTTAATCGTCGATAAATCTTTGAGACTCATACAGATTTGCAGCGTAATGTTGTTTGAGATAAACTTGAGTTTGTGAAAACTTTTATGTTACAAAGGTGATTGTGTTTTTTCTCTGACCTCAAAGCAAAATCGAGATAAGGACTGAGTGTTATTCTCGTAATTCATCCAGAAAATGACAATTTTGTAGATTTTCCCTGCTAACTCGAAAGAAAAAGGAATTTTTTGAAGACATATGGGCATTGTTCGTTTGAAATCTCGTTTGCATGATTTACAACGCTCATGTTTGTTTCGGAGATAACTACGCTAAACTAACGCAGCAATCAGTCTGAACTAACAATAAGTAGTAAATATGAAATGGGACTTAGTTAACTGAAGAACAATTTGTAGCATTTCTTCAGCCTTGATCCAACATGTTTGGAAAAGTAATCTGGCGGCAGAAGTGATGTAAAAATAATTTTAGCTCTGACCTGTCCACTCGTTTGCACTTATAATCTCGGTAGCACTTCGTTTGAAGATCACACGAGGTGCGTGTGCATATGCGAATCGAAGTTCGGTTACGAATGTCAATAAAAACAGCTGCAATGCCAATGCCAGCGCCCATTCAGAACTGGTTGCGATGAGGAATGTGCGGAAGTACTGGAAAACAATTTGTTTGAAATGGAATGTACATAAGACTTTAATCTCTCCTACCGGTGAATCTCTGCCACCGTGCTCAAAAATTTGCCATCCTGGAAATGCTCCTGCATTTCTAGGTACGAATATAGTCGTCTGAAGAGCCAGTTCGTCTGGAAAAAAGCTTTTTCTTAAATGTTAGGGCAAAAACGCTAACTCACGAAGAATTAGACAGCAGGTTGCGAAGAGCACAGTAAGGAGACGAAAATGATTTACTAACATGGTAGCCATGCGAGGGATGAGTGCATATCTGGAAATATATCCATACCTAGTCTGGTCTCAAAAAGTCGACGACTGACTGTTGAAGAGGCTAGGTTTTCCAAGTAAACTAAGCAGTTATTTCGCAAACTTTCTCAACACATGCGTTGTTGTACAAAAGTTCTATTTCGAAAAAAATTTTCTGGTTTTGTCTTCAAATATATCTCGCAGCTTTTGAATCGACGGTACCACCTAAATCTGCGACTAGTCTAGAAGTTGATACATGATTTCATACAAATAAAACTAAGTTATGTCTTAACTATTTTCGCGCTGATTTCATGCCTTTTGCGAGTTCAGCCTACTTCTGAATATTTTATTTGTTCACCTAGACTTTTACGAGTATTTCAAAAAGTTGCTATTTCTTGCGTACTCCTTGTTTTACTGCATCTCTATGTTTACATTTATGTGCACTACATATATGATTACTCACCCTATTATGACTTGTCCCCATGCATAGATTATCAGTGCAATGAAAGCCATTAATGCGCCAATGTTGTGCACAGCCTCTATCTCATATTCCTGAATTTCACTCTACAGGATGTCCCAAAAGTATGTATGCACTGTTTGATCGTTAATATCTCCCTTCCCAAGAAGTCTTTCGCTTTGCTTTAGGTACCATTTTGTAGAGCTGGCTTCAGCTTAGATTTCCATTATAGAACGAATCACCCATCTCTCTTGGTTATTGTAGGATTACGGTAAAAACTTGAAACACATGGTGTCAATGTGGAAAAAGCTGCCGTTTCAAAATTTTTCAAAAAATTGTGATTGTGTAATAGAGTTTTTATAGACGCTGAGTTCAATACTCAACTATTCACAAGATTACGAAGCTTTCTAAACGGTGTAACCGCACTTTTTAGGAACATTGAAAAAATGGCCGTTACCTCTTACCCGGCATAACTCTTCAATGAAGCATCATAAAAAGTTAGGAACTTTACAGTTAAAATCAGCAATCTAAATAGCTTAGTGTAAAAGTTTTCAGGCTGTTTTGTTTCTTTTCTGAGGAAAAAAATGGCTTTTAATGGCTCAAAACCCTCCTTGAAGATTCTACCGTAATCCTACAGTAACGAAGAGAGATGGGCGATTCGTTCTACAATGCAAATCTAAGTTGAAGCAGCCAGCTCCACAAAATGGTACCTAAAGCAAAGCGAAAAACTTCTTGGGAAGAGAGATATTAACGATCAAACAGTGCATACATACTTTTGGGACACCCTTTATACTCAGGTGTCTTTTTAGACACAGATGGATTCGGACAAGCAAGCGATAGATTCACGCTAAATACGTGGCGTGGTCCTGATGCCTATGAGTCGTGGTGCAATGGCGAATTGTCATAACTCTGCCACCGCAATAGTCAAACCTTACACTTGATTCTTCATCAACCCACCCGAAAATTGGCAACCAGCGACAACCCCAGTGCACTAACGAATCCTACATACATCAGTGCCAGTGACGCATAGCGCCATTTTGTTTGCTCCCAATTCAGGCGATGATAGTAGTATTCTACAGTTTGACGGTGTCGTATGTAGAAAGTGATGACGTCTAAAAACAATCATTCAAACCAATCCGATAACATCTCAAATTTTTAGCATGTGCTCACAAAAGAACGAGGCCAAGTTGAGAAATTGTCCAAAAATGGAAGCTTCCGGGCTTTGCGCGCCACCGTCACTGAAATAATAGGAAATGTCTGTATAAGAGAGAGAATAGGGTAGCAAACACATGGATATGCACAGGTACAAGCAAAATATTGGAATGGTTCATATTTGCAAAAAAAAGTTCGAAAAATGGCTATTTCCATTGGTTTCAAAAAGCTCGTATAATTCGAAGTAGCTTAACCCAAAAAAAGATTATGCGTTTACTATGTTTTCTGTAGCGGTCGAAACAATTTTGGCTATAGGATGACAAAGGGGTGCACAATCGTGTTTTCTTCTGGTAGCCAGAGATACTAGAAGTTTTTATAAAATCTACTTTATATTCGGTTTACGACCTACTGCTTTGAGTGAGCAAAACTCATAATATTCGAACATTTGCAATGATAATCACGATCTTCGAATGTTTTAATCGACATCTCGATCTTGTTCCGATTAAGATCTTTAATAGGCCCAATAAAGTAGATCTTGGAAGAGAGAATGGAAATATATTTTGAAAAATCAAAATTGAGATCGAAACGCATTCCCAATACACAAGAGTGTCTATGGAGCCTTATAGGCAGTGTCTCGGCAGATTTTGCACTTCCACGTTTCTGCATGTTTTAGGCCTTTTCGCCACGTAGAAGCCGAATTTGAGCTTTGAACGGGCTGAAAAGGCCGATTTTGGGGCGTTTACCCAATTCCAAAAAAGCAGCTCGGACGAGATTTTTGATGGAGAGTTGGGAGGTCCTCAGACGAAGACCCTGCCGCCTGTAATTTTTGCTTTGTATAGCATACACAATCAGGGCGAGCGCTCGTGGGGTCGCGCCGAACAGACAAGGACAGCCGTCCGAGCGCGCGCCAGTTGGGGTTGCGCGCGCCGGTTCAAGGGCCTTTTTCTCGGCCCAGGGGAAACATCACCCAGCCGGACCGCGCCTGGAGGTCGGTGGGGTGACCAGGAACCCCACCGCACCTATATCCCCCAGGACCCGAATCTGCCGGGACACTGCCTTTATGATCAACCTGATAAGATCGTTATCGTTTGAAAAATGTCCTCTGAATGAGTAAATGGATAAAATATAATAGAAGAATATGTGCAATGTATAATGTAATACAATGACAATAAAATAACCAATGAATAGAGAAATCACCTGATGAACGGAAGAAGAGGGAGTAAATGTCCATTTGCAACTCCTATAACATACCTAAATGAAACTTTTTCTTCTAAAAGACTTTAGAACGACTACTATACCAGTCAGAAATTGTTTACCCTCCGATCATTCCAATCATAGCGCAAAGTGCGGCCGCTACTGGGACCAGCCAAACGTGACGAAGCACCATGACGGACCTAAAACATAGCTTATAGTATCAAATTTGCTCCAGATAATATGCATGCGAAAGTGCAAGGAGAATCATAAAAAGATCAGCGTTACGCTCACGCACTTTCGGCTATCGTAATGCGCTGATAAGCGCGTAATGATAAACCGATTGTCGTTTCATTGCTCAAATATTCTGCCCGACTGGACTATGACATAACATTCTTCATTACACAGTCAACACCGTTATATTTGCATCACTCACATGGGAATGAATCACTCAATTAATGACGCGGATTTGACACAATCAAGGATACGGTAAAATAGATGGGCTCCACATGCAAGCTTCCGTTCGATGTACTCAAAAGCAACTATTTTTACCCGTTTGAAAAACTGGAAAATGGGAAAGAATATTTTGAATGTGCGGACCTTTTTTTATCCGTACCCATTTTTCCGAAATGTTCTCGTGAAGTACGCTCAGCCTGGAAATTTTTCCGAGATTTTGTGAGGACTGTTTTCTTGCCAAAGGATAAAAGATCTGGATCTCATACATTCTGTGTCAAGAAAAAATCAACATGTTTGTTGACTCATTTTTTCAAAAACATTTCGGGTGGGAGAGCACGAGAGCATTTAAAACGGCTCGAAAGCTGTTGAGGAGTATTCCATAAAAGTTAAATAGTTTCAAACGTACATTGAAACATCTTGATAGCTTTCAGCAATAGTTTAAAGAAATCTTGCTCTTTACATTGTTTTACATGCGAATTCAGTTGGGAAAGAATTTAAATAATAGCTTAAATACCTGGCTACGATTGTTTCGTGTTTGGATGATAGCACATAGCCAGGTTCATTTTCATAATGTTGAAGCTCATTCATGAAACTGTTGACTAAAAATGGAGCCATCACTGAATAAAAAAGGTTGAAATAGCGTTGATAGGTAGGCTAAACAAACTCTTCGTGAAACTTGTTAGAGATGTAAGTGACTGTAAATCTTACTGACACGTGGCAGAAGGCTGATCCTCATCCTCCTGCCACGAGTGAAGTTTTTACCAAATTCGGTAGAAGGAAGGAACCAATATCGATATCCTTTTCAAAAAAAGGATCCGGATAACGGAAAATCACCAAAAAATCAACACTCCCTCGATATCTTAGAGAAACTGAATAGTTTCCCAAAGTTGTAAAATTTGTAAAACAGTATTTGTGCAGTTTTACGTTCTGTACAAACAAAGTCGGATATTTGGCGTAACTTCGTGACAGTTAGAAGTCAAAGCGATGAAGTCTTGATGGGTCAACTTGCGTTGGTTTTTTGAAGCTGACTCAGGGAAAAAGCCTCCTTGAAGACTGATCTAGAATAATGATCGCTTACTGTCATAAATTTCATAGACGACGTTATCTTCCTAGCAATACTATAATTCAAAGCTACGGTGCCAAGAAACTAAAAAATCACAAGAGAAAGGAGAGGATTTTAGGAAGCTCTCGTAAGAGTTCGTGCAGTAAAATATCGGATTGTTGCTTAACTTTCACACCGAATATAAAAATCGTTTTGAAAATGCTCAAACGAAGAGAATTCCGTATGTTGTGAACTTAGTCTTCTTAAGTGCATTAGAAGAACTGATTTGAAAATTGGAAAGTTAAATGAATTGTAGTTGATTGGTGACCACTTGATAATTAGTTGACTGTAACAAACTAATTAATTGTGACAAAAATTGTAACTGATTGTAGAGACATCCGACCACTACAAACTTCTCTTATTGTAGTTAGTATTTGGAGTCATATCAAAATTAAACTCAGATTTCAAAAGACATTCTAGCAAATTGAAGACATTGAGATTGCCAAATCAACTTTGGGATAGGGATAGAATGGCCAACATCATACAAAGATTACAAGAAAACAAACTCGGTGTGATCGAAGAGTTGAGACAGAGAATTGTTTACTCGTACACAGTTCATAACTTTCACTTCGTTTTAACATACTTCTTCCATCCCGACATTAGAAATTATTCAATATTGGAAATTTGTCTATGTTCCGACAAAAAGGTTGCAGTTTTCAAAAACCACAAGAACTCCGTATCTATTCTGCCTTTTCATTCCTCCAAACAAAAAGGTGACAGCAAATGCAAGGTAAAACAAATAAACACTTTAAGAGCTTAGAAGGGAGGTACGGTACCTTGGTATGAAATCCATTTAGTAAATAAATCTCTCAAGGTGTTTTACTCAAAAAAGTCGCAGAAGGAGAATGCAAACATTAACACCAAGGTGAAAGCGAAATTTGATTGAGCAATAGACAATCCTGAGTGGATATTGAGATAGTAAAGGCAGACTGAGCTATAATTTAGAGCAAGTTCACATAGCCACCAATGCACTTCATAATCTATCGCAGATTGCTCCAATTTCGCGTGCAATGACCTCAGATATATTTAATTGACGTAATGCCTTGAAGTTTCGGAATTCAATGACACGAACAACACTAACATTGTGGATGTTGATGAACAAACAAGTGGATAAATTGTAAGGAGCGCTGGATTAATATTAGAGTGATCCAAAAGTAATAGGGCACCTAGAGAAATGCAGTTTTCTCAAACAGAAAACCTAATAGGAAGCCCAAGTTTTGGCAGATAATAGTACATAAAAAAAGCTTCTGACCAAGGCCTATACATGTGCACTGTCACATGGCGTTATTTTCATAAGCGCTCAAAATCAAAGCCAATCACTCCAAGTAATCTTGAACTTTGAGCAGCACCGCCGCAATAAAACAAGTGAGCCTACCAAAGATATCTGGCGCAGCGATGAGTGAGGGGACTGTTACCAAATCCACGTTAGCGTAGTGATCCCAAAGTTCTAGAAAGAAGGTATAGCACTGCGTACTAAGAGGCATATTATTTATCCTTTCATCAAGGTAATCAAATGGGCTCATTCTTGAAAGCTGTTGTCTGATAGAGCTTTTTAGGCCCTATCCATACATATGCAATTTACCTCGATTTTTCTCCTTTGCAAAGGATTTTGGTCAAAACATGATTTTTAGCATGAAAATCTGCGCCAGACTTCCCACCTTTTACGGATAATGTGCCTCTTTTAAGCGAAATAATGGAGATTTCTGTATTTTTGAATAAATATTAGAAAGAGCTTGAAAAGCTCTTTCTATTGGTATGCCATATGTATAGGATTTTAGGTGCAGCAGCCCAAATCGGATGGCGTTCAAAAAAGTCGCCTGACTTTTTGAATCGCCGCTGAAGAATTGGGTGAGGTGATGAAAGGCGCTATCAGGATAACCCGCAAAGATCACTTCATACAAAAGCTTTCAAATTCATGCTCCAAACTCGGTTGTTTATGAATTTTGGCGTAATGTTGATCACTGCTATATTCTTCTTCAGCCTGTCACCAAGATTGTTAATAATTTTATTACGGCTGACTTTCGGCGTCGTCGCCCTTCTAGAGCCTGGAAAAATCACAAAACATTCGTGCTATTCTCTCAAACACCTATCCGACGACAAGATATAATCCAGCGTCATGGATAGGAGCTGAAACGATAACAGAGACGTGAAGAACTGAGAGAGCCGTTATGTGAACAAACCACCGTATGCGGAGTGCGCCTTAATGTTGATTACTTTGCGAGCTCCTTAAGCGTCTGACCCTGACGTAGATCAAAACCCACAAAGGGTTTGATATGGGGCCAGCTCTCTGGTTCGTTTTTTTTTTCGCACTAACCACGTTCATCAGGAGCATCTATGAATGCACAAAATAAAATAAAATAAAATAAATGATGTATATTCTTAGAAATGAGGTACGTGTTGTCGAATAAGATGCAACTGAAGAAGTTGAAGGTAAATTGAAAACAAATCGCGTCTCCCGATTTTCACCCGCTACCTTTTTTGTGTCGCGATATTCCCCAAAGTGAAAAATCGGTACGCGCCATGTCTTGTCATGTGATAATCGGCTCACATCAGTATATCTCACTCATCGGTTGCAACCAGGGTCAAGCGTGCTGATGCGATCCGGGACCCTCATTTACGACCCCCCCCCCTTTGAAGGTACCCATCCGTACGACCCCCCCCCTTTCCCCCTCCCCCCCCCCCCCACCCTCACCCGTTTATCCTCCTTACCTCCCTGCCCACATTTCTCGCAGTAACCTGCATAAACGAATGTCAATCTCAAAAAACACCTGCGTGAGAACTTCAGTGGGGTTTTGAAAGCAGAATTTCTAGGCCAATGAGTGTGTCCATCATCTGTAGCACGCATACATACCTTCAATAATGTTTGGGTTTGCAAGTTTTTTTTTGAATTTTCAAGCAACTTCTGGCCAGCAGATTCGCTCCCCGTACCTCCCCGATACCATTTTTTTAAAAGAAGAAAAAACGATATCTTTGAAGCTTAAAATATGTTTTCGACTAAAAGGCCTATTTACCATTTTTTTGCATAGATTTTCTTACGAAAAAACTGTTTTAGCGCCATTTAGAACGATATCAAAAACGTGCATGAGCACGGTATTTTGAAAATTCGTAACTAAAGGCAGGGAAAGACTGAGGCTGCAATAAACATGCTTTGTAGCATTGTGCTTATACTAACCATGGAAAAAGTTTCAGCCATTGAGAAGCAGTAAGCTCGAAAAAATCTAGATGCGACTGTCGCAAATTTAGATGCGATCCTAAAAGCAAAAGTCGGATTTTTGAGCTTGGAATTTTGTATCTCATCGGAGAAGTTATCAAACAGCCTGAAATTCTTATTACAAAAAGAAGAGGGGTGGCCTCGTGCTACAGCAAGTTTGCAGCTAACAAGCTTCAATAGCTCCGGAGAAATTCAAATGAGGCGCTGACACGACTCCCCTTTTCCCATTTTTTGCTATCATACATAAGATCATAAGAAAATCCACAGTTGACAAAATAACACCAAATTTTGCACTGATATAGCGGAGCATCTCAAAAGTACAGACAAATCATATGAGCTCGTGAAAAACATTACAAAAAGATTTAGAATTTTATGATGGTCACAGCTGGTAAAGACTTCGCTTTTGTCGAGTGTGTGGGACTTCAGGAAGGATTCAGAAGCAAGATTTCTAAGGCAATCAGTACATTTAGCATTTTTATCAAATAATACATCCTTCAAAAGTGTTTTGAGCTCTTGTAAATGTTTTTTTTTTTGAGAATTTCTAGATTTTTCTGATTTCCACTTTTTTATAGATTTATTGTAAAGAACATAACTAATTGTCTGCTTTTTGATTCTCTTTATAGCCTAGGGTAATTTAGCTTAATTACTTCCTCTTACGACCCCCCACACCTTAGATACCCTCTTACGACCCCCGTTGCGACAGTCGCATCACAAGCTTGACCCTGGTTGCAACCATTACATGCGGTACGGACCTCTAGCGAAGCGATGGCTCCTTGGTATGTGCTATGCCTTCGCAACTTTTGTAGCACTAGACCGGAGCAAGAGCCAAGAACTGGCGAGGCTATTGGAGACGTTAATGGGCTGGAGTCACGGATAGAGCTTTGAACCAATTCGAGCTTGTGATGAAGACGAAAGCGTCAAACTTGTGGCCGCATAGTATTAATAAAGTTTTTCACTCTTTGAACATTCATAGCTTGATCGGAGGCGCACAACAGCTATCGAAGACAGGTTTAAAATAAGCCGTCAAGCTCTTCACAGTGTAGGATTTCTCTGCAAAGCCGACTCGACTGATAACACATTCCAGGTTAGGGTTCCTTCAGGACGCGTCAGCCTCGCGTAGTATGAGGAACCCTTAGCAGCAAAGGTGCCAATTTAGGAATAATCAACGATAGAGTGAGAGCATTCCGGGGAAGGTTCAGTCTAGTATAATCGACGACTACTAGAGTGCATCTTCACTGACGACATTTGGCGTAAAAGATGGATTGACCGCGCTCAATTCTGCTCCTGAGGACGGTTTTTGTATCTTGCGATGAGATCTATATCGTTTGTAATCTGCACTCCGTGTTGGATTCCAAAAGAAATATCATTCTTTTTTGATAGTCTTGACTTTTCACAGTCGCGGAAATTACTGTAGTTATAATGGAATGATTCAGCCCACAGCTACTATCCAACTGTTGCACGACTGCTTTTTCTGTGAAAGCCCTTGGAACTAAGAACAGTTCTTATCGTTTTTATTCCAATTTTTTCCTCGAACTAGCGACCCTGCGGGTCGCTATAAGTGGATCGAAGCACATGTCTAGAAACTTTGTGCATCTCAATGACATCTTCCTGCATTTTATTTTACTTGAAAAAGATTTTCGCCGAATTATTAAATTTGCTCCAAGGTAGATTCCTTATCGGGTAGAAGCATCTAAAAAAGTTTTTTGGACTGATAATCTACCCTGAACTTTGAGCCGTTTTATTTTGCGGGACTCGTCAACAACTCGCTTTCTACAAGTATAGGTGAGGTTTCCCCATGACGTCTACAAAGCAGATTTTTGATGAGATATTGGAAAATCTGTGGAATAAACGCACTTCCCGAAAAGGTTCCTCTCGCTCGAAAGCATGGCCTCCCTCAATGAGATCCGCACTCACACACTTCGCTTTCAACAAGAAAGAACAGAATTTCCTCAACACGCGCTTTCAGAACACTTTTCTTCTACGGATTTTGCGATACGGCGACGCCAAGTTACTCCCGGTAGTGAGCCCTCTGAAAAGTCAGCCGCCATCGAACAAGGAGACCCTGTTACTCTTATGTGGTCCTTGCACAAATTTTATTTTAGACAAATGCCCTTCAATCATCGATCAAATTTTGCCATTTAAGTACGAAAAAGTTACCCGCTATAATCCTTTATGGAAAACGTTGGCTCCACCAGCAAAATAGGAAGATCTTTCGAATGAACGCTCATCTCCACCAGCGAGACCCACTTACTTGAATGCCTTACTTTCTTCAAAAAAGCAGATTTTTCTAAATAGGCGCTCGTTTTCAACCGCCTTTCCTACAGGATAATAGATGCTTTACCTAGCAGAAGCTCATTTTCACCAGCTCGCCAGCCAGACCCACTACTCAAGAATATAACCCCAATTAAAAGCATTTTCAACAGAAGATCCAGTTACCGCTAGTAGGATTTCCTCAGATAGAAACACATCTTCGCCGCCGGAACCCAGTCATCTAAAAGCTTTCTCTTCCACACGGAAGACCATAACCTGAGTAAAAGCTTTCCTCCAGCGAAACCTAGTAGTTCAAGCGCTGGATTTTCCTATGTAAAAACCCATCTCCACCAGCGAAGCCCAGTTACCTAAAACGTTGAATTTCCACAAGTGAACCCTTTCCTCCACCAGCGAGACCCAGTCATTCAAGCGTTGAATTTACCCAAGTGGAAGCTCATCTCTACCAGAAAGACCCAGTTACCCAAATCGCCGCTTTCCGCCACCAACGAGACCCAATTACCCGAAGCGTTGGATCTCCATGTAAACGGCGAATTTAAATGCTTTCTTCCACCAGCGAGACCCAGTTATTTAAGCGTTGGATTTTCCCAGATGAAAGCTCATCTCCACCAGCGAGACCTGTTACCCAAAGCATTGAATTTGCCGAGTAAACGCTTTCCTCCACCATCGAGAGCACTTACTGAAGCGTTGGATTTTCCCAAGTGGAAGCTCATCTCCACGAGTGAGATCGTTACCCGAAGCGCCGCTTTCCTCCACCAACGAGACCCAGTCATTCAAGCGTTGGATTATCCTAAGTAGAAGCAGCTCATATCCACCAGCGAGACCCAGTAAAATACCCAAAGCGGGATTTTCTTGAGTAAACGGTTATCTTTATCAGCGACAAGTTACCCAAGTGTTGAGTTTCAGGCAAAGCAAAAAAACCTTCACCAACGAGACCCGGACTCAAGTCTTTCTTTGAGTAAACGCTTGTCTCCACCAGCGAAATCCAATTACTTCCGCTTTCCTTTCTATACAACAGGGAATATATTCACAAATATATACTCGTGTCCACCAGCAATACCCAGTTACTCGAACACTTTCAATTCTGGAAGCGGAAGCAAGATTAGCCTGATCGTGAGATAAAACCTCGCCCCCACCAGCGACACCCAATTACACAAATTAACCTTCCTACAAGTCCATCAGGTAACATTTTTGATCAAAATTTCCGACATTATCTGCGGTGCGTAGTTGTCTAATCGTAGGTGCTTTTTCTTCTGAGGCGTCGCCTCTGACAAGAGAACGCAGTTTCACGCTTTTCGGAATACGACAAAAGTTAGATTTTCTCAAAAGCTTGGAAAAGCAAAATTTCCAACAAATTCGCAGTATTTCTTGAACATGCTCCGAAAAGCATCAGGTTTTGGCTCTAACATGAGACCCACTTAATCTGTGCGATATAGTTTTTGTGTAAGCAGAGAAAAACGAAACGAAAACAGTCTTGAGACTGTTGATATGCCACTCGTGATGGTTTGTTTACAGTCTGGAATTTGTCCTTAAGCGACAGCTATGCGCGAAGAAAATTCGAGACGGTAGTACAAACGAAAACATGTCTCATATATAAGGGGCGTGTCCGCATCTCGTCTGGCTTCTCCTCGTCTGCCATCTGCTATCGTTTAGGGAAAGTGCACAAATTCATGCTTTTATACGTAGTGATTCGTTGGGCCAAAAATAAGAGGTACACTAGTAAGCACTCTGTACATCTCAACTATTTCTTTCTTATCCTCCCACTCCGTCTCTGCCCTGGATAGCAATTTTCAACGACACCGCACATCATCCTGGCATAATAAATTCGCATAGTTCAAAGAATATGGCGAATTTATTAAAGAACCGGCATAAGATCGACAATGAAACATGCACAAACACACTGGAGTGGGTGAAATAAACTAATAATCCGCAGGCATCAAGCCTTGATAATCTCATAGTATGACAAAGCATGACTAACTATTCTTAAATAGCGATACTGAGTACCTAACCTAGGTACCTGATGAATACCTTACCTAAGAACATAAAATGTGCGCAAATTGTAAAGCCGTGCCCTATGGGTAACATAACGAACAGAAACATTTTGTCCCAAACACTTCTACGAATTATCAAAAACAAAGTTCCTAGGCTAACAAACTTCTTGAGTGCTCTAAAAAACGGACAACATATGAAATGAGAGACTCAACCCGGAGGGGGAAACAATTAGATGTACTAACTAACGAGCCAAACTATGCTTTGAATCCTTCCATTTGTGATTTAGGTACGTCAAACGTTCTGCTCATCATGTCTTTTTGTTCGAGCAGATGGGTAAACTTATTGCCAGTAGCTGGAGAAGCTGATGGTTGACGTCCAGCATAGTGGATTCCACGGTTTTCTGGTCTTAGCAGACTGTTGAAGCGAGGCTGTACAAACGTCCAGGCTCCCATATTCTTATGTTCCTGCAGAACTCAGCAGTAGTTGATAAAAGACAAATACACGAGATGATCGCAAGAAAAATCTGATAATACCTCCTGAGACCAGATCAGCTCAGCTCCGGGGTATTTCTGGCACTCAGCCTGGATCAAGTCGTATGGGAACGGTGAGATCTGCTCAACACGGCAGATAGCCACTGTATCATCTTTTCCTACATGTTTGCGTGCATTGACCAAGTCATAGTAGACCTTTCCTAAAGCGGATATCAATAGGGCCCATCCACTGCAGCTTAGATACTCCCACGCACCTGTACAGAAGACAAGCCGTTGCACATTCGAAGCATTTTCCGAGGGTGGCCCAACCTCAGGGATAACACGCTGGAAGTGAGTTCCTGTCGCGAAGTCCTCTACCGGTGATCGAGCCATAGGATGACGAAGCAAAGATTTCGGTGTCATAACTACGGCTGGCTTACGGAATGGCATGGTCACCTAGAAAAAATCAATCATAGCTTCCATGTCCAAGATACTGGAACAAAACAATCAGCGAAAATGACTAACCTGTCGTCTGAATAAATGGAAGATGTTTGCTGGGGTTGTGCAGTTGGCAACAATCCAGTTAGTGTCATGAAGTTGTTGGGCTTCGAAAGTTCCTCCAAATGCTACTTTCTGCAACATGAAGTGCATTAGCCAGAGAAAATACAAATGAGACTGAAACATACCTCCAGATCAATCTGATCATCTTCATTGCATAGCTGTAAATACCTCTCTGGACGAGCGGACGAGTGCTCAGGTCCCATACCCTCGTAACCATGAGGCAACAAAATTACAATTCCTGATTGGCGGATCCATTTTGATTGTCCTGAAAATCTCGCAGATATGGAATCATATATTATTTCTCTGCACAAATAATATCCATTATCCACAGCTCAATGTACTGACTCATTGCTAATAACTGCAAAGATAAACAACAAATCTAACTGTAGGTCTGTTTCTCTTGCACGGTAACCTCTAATAGATTAAAAAAAAACAAACAAGAAACTTGATTTTACCAGCCCTCCATATAAGGCGTAGAAGGTCGCCATCTTACTATTCTAAGCTATAACCTATACTCACCAGAAGCTACAAATTGGTCGATTACACATTGTGCATTGTTGGCAAAGTCCCCGAATTGTGCTTCCCATATGACCAGCGAGTTAGGATCAACCATAGAATAACCTAAAAAAATCATTTTTATGGAGTCTATACCTCATAATCATAAAACAACCTTCTAATGAAGTCTAGAAAGCGATAGTTGTCTAGACTGCCGGCAACAAAAAGAATTAATGACTTGTGACCTACCGAGTTCAAATCCAAGCACAGCATATTCGGATAACGATGAGTTACAAACGGTGTATTCTGCTTGTCCCTCTTTCAAGTCGTTCAATGGATTGTAAACCTGCAATGAACTCTTTGTCATAAGCGTTAGAAAATGATTTTCACGGTGTCACTCATTTTGCAAAAAAAGATGTCATTCACACCACACTGCAGCCATCACTCACCTTCTTATCGACTGTCTGGTCGTGCAACACATGATGTCTGTGCGAGAACGTTCCACGTTCCACATCTTGACCGCTGAGTCGAACATGGGTGCCTTCTTGCAGTAGTGAACCAAAGGCCAACGCTTCACCACAGGCCCAATCCAGCTAAATAGAAACTCATGGAAATGATAGACCGAAAATGCAGAAAAAACTCCCTTGAAATGTTCAAAATACAAAAGTGAATGCAGAAAATCATTATAGTCTACTATCGCCCACACCACTGAACACTTGTACTGAGAATTCTGATTTGAAGTGCTCACCGAGTTGTCCTTGAGCATTTGCTTGCGAGCTTTCAAAATACGTTCCAATCCACGATGAGGATGGAATCCTTCTGGGTATGATCCGAATTTATCAATGATATAAGCGATCTGATCGACATCGATGCCGGTACTGACGAGCTGCAAGTGGCGACGTTCACAAATATACATTGTAAAAATGATGTTGTTACCTTCAGAGGATCACGACGCTTGAAGAAGTCATCCCAAGGCGAATCAAGCCAGTCGCGGTTGCGTACGTATGTCACTTTTTGCGCATTTTCGTAGGCTTCCTCGAGAATTTGTCCGTATTTCGTCAACTCGTCCTATAGAAAAAAGTAACAATCAATTTTTTTACACGGAGCAGGCTAATAACCCACCTTCACATACTGATCGTTCGCAACTCCCTCGTTAATGATATGCTCCTGATATTTCTCCAAAGCAGTTGGCATTTTCTTTATTTTTTGGTACATAAGAGGCTGTGTAAACATCGGCTCATCTAACTCATTGTGGCCATGTCTAGAAAAAAGGGGCAGTGCAGTTCCAAAGTCAACACAAAATGTGATTTCTACCTTCTGTAGCACACAATGTCAATAATGACGTCTTTTTTGAAAGTTTTTCTCCATTCTGCAGCAACATTGCAAACATGCATCACCGCTTCCGGATCATCAGCATTTACGTGGAAGATGGGGCATCCAAGGGCTCGTCCAACATCAGTACAGTAAGGAGAGGAGCTGAAAGGTATTACGCTTCGGAAATTTGGAAAAAAATTAAAAGATCTCAGTGTAAAAGAATCAAAGAAGGAGAACTTCCGGAAAATGATAGAGAAGAGGAGAGAACCAGTCCTAGCTCACCGTGAATATCTCGGATCTGTGGTGAATCCAACTTGGTTGTTCACAACGATATGGATGCATCCATGGGTAGTGTAACTTGGCAGATCATCAAGGTTGAACGTCTCCATAACAACTCCTTGTCCAGAGAAGGCAGCATCTCCGTGCATCAAGATGGCCATGGTACGGTCGCATTTGGTGTCACCAGCATAGAATGCCTCAGCACGAACCTAACAAAACAGTTTTGTAAATAAAAGATACATTCGGTAACGTATATGGATACCTTGCCCATAACAACAGGATCGACAGCTTCCAAATGTGAGGGATTTGCCACCACAGCAATCTTCATCTTACGATTTGACTGCCGATTTAGTCGTTCTACACAAACGCCCAAGTGGTATTTTACATCACCAGAACCCTCATCAGCGGGTTCAAGGGTTGAGAACTGTGACAGAATGGTGGATAAAGGTTGACGGCAAACATTGGCCAGGACATTCAGACGACCACGATGGGGCATTCCGATGACAATCGAGTCAACTCCAAGATTAGACGATGTGTCGATAACCTTGATAAATAGCAACATACAATAAAAACATCTGGAGATTTTATACTAAGCCTACCTGTTTCAGGGCTGGAATCAGAACCTCGCAACCCTCAAGCCCAAATCTCTTCTCGCTGGGCCATTTCTTGGCCAAGAACTCTTCAAACTTGGTGGAACGGATCAAACGTTTGAAAAGGACCTAAAACAACTTAGATACAAAATCAAGTTCAAAGATCTACAGAATCCTAACCTTCTTCTGATCGTGCGATAGTTTCGTGGCAGCCGGAGCTTCGAAATGCTTTCGAATCCAGTCTTGCTGCTCCAGATTGTTCAGATGCATGTATTCTACGCCAGTAGTTGTGCAGTAAATCTCCTTTAACAAACATTTTTCAAAACCAAATTAATTTGAAAGAAATCTAACCTTCAGTCTATGGAGAATTTCCCTAAGCGTGAGCGATGGTTTTTCGCCACCAATAAAAGTGGTAGGCGGCAAAACGAATTCCCTACAAGAGCAAAACTATAACTTCCAAACGCACTCCCGTTCCTGGGTTGATCTAGCCTCACTTGTCAAGGTCTCTTTCACCAAATCCATAAAATGAGAGTTCGAGTTCGGGTGGTATCGTGTCGTCGAGATCGGCACTGTTGATGCCAAGTGGGTCGAGATCGGCAATATTATGTCCGCGAGTCTGAAAAAGCTTTCATTGTTTTTGTTCGTCGCATCAAGGAAAACGAAGCCCACCTGGTAACTTCTGATAAGAAGTTGCACTTTGAGGTGTTCTGAGATAGTCTGCAATGACGATGGCATTTCGACCGATGGTACCATAGCCGTTTGCGCATGTTGAGGCCTAGAGCAAAGTATAGAGAAGCAGTATCTGTGTTTGTAGGAGATACGCTGCGAAATTGCTAGAAACCAGCGTGGTTTGGGGGAAAAACAGATTGACAAAGAACTGCCAGATCTTATCCTCCACCCTAGTTACACTCCGCGTCGAAAAAACTGCGCTGTGTCCCTGCAAAATGGGTGCTAGTTGCTAGATAAAAGGCTTAAAAAATTTCAGAATTGCGGGTTTTTGAACAACATCTATAAGGGTTATATTTGGCATGCTGGCACGAGTAACGGTCACCCCGTGCTGTAAGCAATTTTGTGGGGAGGAGAGGTTACGGTAGTACCTGGTTCAAAATTGCAGATTTCCGAATCTTATCTGAGAGAGTTATATATGGGATGCCGATCACAAATATCGCAGTCATATTGTAAGCAGCCTATGGGAAACAGAGTGGGTTACGGTAAGTACACTATAGGAAGCCAAGATAAATATATGCATTTAGTTAACCTTCATAAGCCAAGTCTGAGATAGATTTGTGATGGAACTATTGTACTTAGTAGTTAAACAGCACCAAAAACATGCCGAAGAAAGCATACAATCTAGTTTTAAGTTTTCTGTTCAATCAACATAATTCATACAGGAACTTCAAAGTTTCCAGGATCCACTACGCGCTTGAAATGTACTTTTTTTCGGCTTTTCTTCCGAAGTGTCATCCTAACAGCAAGTTGCAAAGAGAATGTGTATATAAGACTGAACTGTGACCTAAGATCGTCAGCGTCACTATGACGCAGCGACTGTAGCAAAGTCTCGCTTTTTTTCTACCATGCAGTGTCACTGCACTAAGAAACCAGTTCGGCGATGAGTGCAGTTGAACCGTCAATGCAATTGCGATGACCCGTATCAGATTTTTTGACTGAGAGTTTGCAGCAATTACCCTAGAAGCGTGAAAAAATGCTGTGATGCACAATAAATCTCCGCATGTTTCTTTTTCAGTTCCTCTCTAGATCCAGAATCTTTAGTCTAATGAAAACTACGTACATAGCGAATCCACCACCGACGGCAACTGGTAGTATTCCTGGAACTCCAGCGGCTCCGAAAGCTGCAGGAGGAGCCTGGTAAGCTTGCCCTGGTGGAGCGCCACCCTCCACATTTCTAAAGTACGCATCCCACGACGCATGCACCGACTTCGGGTCCGCTTTCCATGACTCATACATCTGAAAGGAGAGAATGGGGGAAGTTATGAAGGATGAAAGCAAAACCGTACTTGTTCGATGTACACGGAAGAGGTGCCATTCATGAACGGCTCCTGCTTCACGCTCGCTGCAGTCGATTGCTTGCGGGCCTGAATAGGTTTGAAACATCAAAGCTAGATCTAGGTAGATCTGGAAGCCTTACTTCTCATGTAGACAAAGATTATAAGGCAACTCTAAGCCATCGCCTTATCGGCAGCTCACCTGATGCTCTAACGACCGAGAAGATCAACTCTACACTCTCGCCCACATCGTACTTGACTGGTCTGCCCAAAAGAATACGGTACTGAGCGACAGTTTATAATCGAATTTTTCGGGCCATGAGTGGATCACGTGATTTCCTTGAGTAAAGGCTAGGAAAATGGATCGCTATAGTTTTTGGTGTATGTAGCAATGGGCCCTCCAACCGCAGCCCCAAACCCCATCACCAGCTCACGTGGAGAACGCGCTTCGAAGTCCACCATCGAAGCACACTCAGCAGTGGCGTACCGAGGGGGGGGGAGGGGGCGGGGGGGGGCGCCCCCCCCCGAGAATGGGTCGCGAAATTTTTGAAAGTTACTTATATGGGTTATAAAAATGTGTAAGTGACTTGTTTATTTTTGTAAATAATTAAAATAATTTTTAAAAATTTTTAAAAATTCAAATTAGCCTCGTAAAAAAAAATTTTTCGGGGGCGTGGCTGACGCCACGCCCCCTTTTTCCAGATTTTGGGGGTCGGGGACCCGAAAAAATTTTGGGAAGCACCCCCAAAATTTTTTCGGAGTTTTTGTCGCCCCCCCCCCCCAAGCCGAAATCCTGGGTACGCCACTGATACTCAGCGAAATTAGGCGGAGCCGGTGAGCTTGTAAACCCCTTTTTGAAAACTTAGCGCGCGTATTGAAGGGTAGAGCTAAGGTATGCCTAGGGGTATCAGCTAAATGACCACAATCTCAAGCCAGTGCCTACAGGGCCTTTCACTCAGTCTTCATACAAGCCACCCAGGCATTGACACTTGTCTTTCAACAAAGTAGAAACATTTCATCTCAATTCCCCCTTGGTCCGCAACGTCAATAATAAAGATTCATCGAAAAAATTGGTGTTCTACCCAGGTAGGATGGTTTTCTTTAACTCTACCTGAGCATTAGCAGCAGCAGCGATGGGACTTGCACTATTTATTGACGACGCTTTCCTGGCGGCGATCGTGGCCGCCCGACTTGGCGATGCCAAACGACAAAGCATGCCTGCACGATGCATCCAGTCAATGCCGGAACCCGGTGTTTGATCTAAAATCTCAAATTTTGGAAACACAAGTTGAAAGTGAAAAGACCACAAATTTGCGATAACAAACGGACACGACAACGCAGCGATGTAGTCAAAGAATTTACGACTCAATATCTCATAGTTCCCTGTCGAAAAACGAGAAGAAAGCGAATGTGTGCAACGATAACACATGTGTTTTAAAGTAGAAAAAAAGTGCTATAAAGGAGATAACAATTTATGCGAAAAGCAGAAAGAAAAAATAATCGTGCAGTTCAGAATACAAATGGTCAGACAATCTGTTGAGCACAGGTATTCTACATATCACACTTGTGGCAAGGCCCCAACAGGTGCTCAGTTGTGACAGCTTTGAGGTCTTGGTGCAGTATTAGGCTGGGTTCATACTGATCCGGAAGTTCCGAAACAGTTCCAGCACAGTTCTGGAATTGTGCTGGAACTGTCCTCGCGCCGCTGCGCGCTGCGAGTTGAGCGGCGTGAGTTGAAGATTTTTGACCGTTTTCAACGGGTTTTCTCTTAAATTTCATCATTTCGGTTCAATTCCTCCACTACGCTTCTCCTTTCAATGGGAAGAACCTCGATCTCGAAGCGGGGTTGAAGAGTGAGCGCAGTCCTGCTCCCTGTATTCGGAAAGATATGTCTTCGTGCGCTCGTCCATATTCTCTTGATTGATTTTGTCCAGCCACTTCAGGTGTTCAGGAAGCCGCTGCATAGTTTCATGTTCTAGAAGGCTGTTCAACGCCCCTTTCAAAACATATATGAAACTACACAGCGGCTTTCTAAAACACATGAAGTAGGTCCGAACAAAAGTAGATGAGGTACGAAGACACGTCTGAATGCATGAAGGCAGAACCGCGCCCACAATCCCGCTTCGAGATCGAGGTTCTTTCCATCAAGAGAGAAGCGGAGTAGAGGAATGGAACCGAAATGAATGAAATCCAAGAGAAAAAAACAGTTGAAAATGGTCAAAAATCTGCAACACCCGCCGCTCGAAAGCGCACGCGAGCGGCTGCAGCGCATGCAGCACAGTTCCTGCACAGTTCGAGAACTGTTCAGGAGCGTTCCGGAACTTTCGGCTCAGTATGGACCTAGCTTTAGCTATGACTAGTGGCGCACCGAGCCCCCCCCCCCCGAAAATAAGTGCGCAATTTTTGAAAGTTACTTACTGAGTTATAAAAGAGTGCAAGTGATTTCTTCATACTTTACGTAATTAAAGGCAGTGTCCGGGCAAAAACTCGATTTTGAGATTTTATGCTTATACGGGCCTATTCGCCATGCTGAATCCGAAAATCCCATTGAAAAGCGCGAAAACGGCGAAAAAGGGCCCTGATATAAGAGGGAAATCAGCAGGTGGGCGGGGCTTTCCCCAGTGCGATTTCACGCTCCCAGCTCCCGGAACGATTTTCTTGATTCCGCTAGCCGTTCTAACATCGCTACCGGCCAAGTGCGAATGATCGACCTGAAACCGGAAGCGAGAAGGTTGCTCCGGAAGCCGGGAACGTGAATTCGCGTTGAGGAGGACCCCACCCATCTGCTCATTTCCCTCCTGCGTTAGAGCCGTTTTTTGCCGTTTTTCGCTTTCCAATGTGCATTTTCGGATTCAGCGTAGCGAATAGGCCCAAGTAAGCACAAAATCTCAAAATCGAGTTCTTGCCCGGACACTGCCTTTAAGATAATTTTTGAAATTTTTAAAATTCAATTTAGCCTTACGAAAAGTTTTTTAAGGGGCGTGGCATGCAGTTTGTTTCGAATTCTGCACTATGTTCTAAGCCCCAAGTGCTCCGAAATCTGCTGGTTATACATACTTTAGCCATTTCAAAATGACAGTAGATCGGCATAATGGGCCCTTGTCAGATTTTAGCAGAGTTAGATAGTAGACCCTTCATAGACATCGTAGCCTCAGTCCCACCCTCCAATTTATGCGCTCCATCCTGAAAGGGTGCTTTGAAAGCACCCGTTTTCACGGTAGGCGGCGCTTGTAGAACTCTGGACCATGCTTCCATTATTTGGCGCAGAATCAGAATTGGATCGATTTCGCTATATTGCGGGTCTACTATCTAACACCAAAATCTGACAAGAGTCCAATCTGCTGAGCCACTGCCGTTAAATCGCGTACAGAAACTGAGTATCTATGTTCCTTATGAGGGAACTAACCAAGAAGCTTTGACTAAGCCATCATAGCTGCAGTTCATATCGTTCATTCGTGGCTAAATCAAATCTAAATCGCCTGCTATCGTAATCCCTCCGTGGAAATAACCACCATTTTCGATTAGGGTTAAGGACTAAAACCATACGGGGTCTCTGATCTTTTTGTCTATTCTGCTGCAAAAATAAGGGCTGTTAGCACAGTCCATACAACCCTAAAACTATTTTCAGGTCATTATCTTCTACAGCAAGCCAAGAAAAAAATAATCACTTATCACATGTCCAACGCATGCATAGTATCAATACAGAATGCAGCTGAGGGTTCATGTCATATGAGCGCTTTGAGATCAACGAGTTCGCAGATCTTGCAGAAATATGGATGAGGGCAATTATAAACGAATATCGGTGATTCAAAGCAAAGATTATACACAGACATATGAAGTAACTTCCAGTGGTTTTATTCAGTAAAGTGCAAAACCCTCCATCATTCTCCAATCAAAACGAGAAAGGAGAACAGGAAGTAGCTGGAGTTATGAGTTAGCACGTATGGATTCGAGAGTGTATATGATACTTCAACAAAAAGTCTAACTATGATGGATTGCATTGACCGCGATAATGAGTTTCAGTCCGCGTTCATAATCGCGATGGTCTTCGCCTAGATTCAAACATTACAGAAGTAATCATTATGAGGATATATGAGGAGTTAAAAGTGAATAATTAGTGTGGTATAAAGACTTTAGTAGGAGGAGGGCACGAAAGGAGAAAGAGAAAAAATAACCTCACTGGATGTGGACATAATCTAGAAAGGATAGTAGAATTGCAGAGCGCTAACAATCCCACCACGACCACAAGCGTCGAAGCAAACGAAAAGAATTTTAGTGAACAAAGGCAGTTGTTCGATATAAAACAGACAATCAATTTCAGACGATACACGTTCTCATTAGAATTCTTTTCATCTAAAACGTGCAGTTCATATGATGATGTGTTGGGTGCATGATTCATGGCATACTACCGCGTCTTGCGTAAAATTACATAACAGCGATCACTGGTCTACATTGGGAATCAAAGATGAATTATACAAAAACAAATTGATAAGAAGAAGTAACGAAAATTTACAGGGATTTCAAAAGGAGGAGGGATTATCTCCGCTTCCGAAAAATTCCGCAGATGATACGGAAAAAGATGAGATTTTTGAGTGTCGTAGAAGATTACAATTTTGAAAAAAATATTTATATACTACACAACGCAGTTAGGGCTCCGCGTGATCGCGAGAGTCGGTGAGTTTGCGGCCATTGCACACGCAGGATCCAGGGAGTTCAAATCAGTTAAACAAGCCCGTACTTTTCAAAATCGTTTCAGGCAATTGGCAGCTAACATCTGATAGCAGAAAAGCTTTTGAAAGGAGAAAGATAAAAAAGAAAGCTCAATGCGCGCCCAATGGCCGCAAACTCACCAACTCTCGCGATGGCGCAGAGTATTCAACTTGTAACATAGCTCAACATATCTGAAATACTGAACGCGGGTGGGGAAAAAATGATGCTGAAAAGAAGGCGTAAAAACCAATATGAGATCAAAAACGCCCGGACAAGGAAGAAGTCCGAAATTCCAATATGAAGTAAGCTCCTGAGACAAATTTTATGATAAAGGTTGCCAGAACCGCACAGGATGAAATAGAAAATGAAGTATGCACGGACATTCTACGTGGACATTACAAACATTGAAAAAAGTGCAAATCGATGATGATGACGAGAGTGGCAACAAACGGGGGTATTCCCCCGTCGTCGTCGTTCACGTCATCGTCTCATCGCTCAACAGTGATGGCGCTGGTGTGACTGAAAACGAAGGATCGAAAACTAACCTCTTATCGCGTCGCTGTCCAAATCACGGCTGCTGTCGGAATAGAAAGAAAAATCGCCACCACACAATGATTAGCACAAGTACAGCACAATCACTGCTCAAGCACGGATAAGAGGAGGAAGCTTCGAAAAAAGTCATCGCCAGTGTGGCTGAGTAAGTCGCATGATTCAAGCACGGCACATGACACCATCGTCTCAACAGTGTGTAATACAAGACATCCATAACATTCTCTTCGCACGAAATCTTGGCGATATCGGGTCTTGAGATTCTTGATATATGAATCACTCTAGCAAAACATGCAGATTTGAGGAGATAACTCTATCAATAAGGAAAAAAACACATCGAGCAGAATCATCTACTACAGTACAATCTGTGCAGTTTGAATGCAAGAACATGGCTATTAGTAATTCCCGGGTGTTCAGTCACATATTGCTGGGCAAAAGATTATAGTCCCAAACTGGTTCATGCGACTCGTGTCATCGCATAGTTCACACTTGGAAGAACAGAATGTAGAAGAAACTAAGAATCTGCTCACTTTTCGTTGCTACATTTGCCTCTTCACCTCCTTACTTGCTTACCTGCATCCAAATCTATCTGAACCTCATGTGAAAGAAAGAAATGTTCTTCTACACAGTACTTCCTGCCACTGCTAAAAAGACCAGGAAAAAATTCGGTGTGGATTCCTTGGATCGGGAACCAATTCGAATGCTCACAGCTTTATGTAGAATACTCAGTCTAGGATGACGCTTCGAATGGTGGGACCCCTACGGTCCTGATATCACCTTGGCGATAAATGGCCGCGAGTCGCCAAAATGCGCGCCCTTTGGCCCCTTTTTACGCGCAAATGCCGTCAGCATTACAAGCTTGGCAATCTTTCCGCGCAAGTGTTGTGAGCACTGCAGCCGACTACATTCGATCAAATTAGTAGGTTTTATCTTCAGTAAGTTTACTTATCTCCATCAGTGACCGCAACTGTCTCAAACAGTTCATTTAGCTTTGCATGGAAGCTCAGCGGGGCCTTTACTATTACAATAACTAGTATGGAAGCCCTGCAGCAATCAACCAATTTTTGCAATAAACAAAAATTAAGTCGGAAACATCAAATGCTAATATGGGAACGCTTGAAATTCTCATACCCATATGCAAGACCCCAGGCTTTTTGTTACATTCCCTTTTTTGCTATAACTATAAACTCCCACAAACGAAAGATTTTCCAGTAAAGGAATACGGATGACATTACAGACAATATAAGAGGAATGTAAGCTAAATGAGAGTATTGGGGAATACAGTGAACAGGGAGCATTTGTATTCTGATAAGTAAGTGGAGGACGACAGAGAACGCGAAGCAGTGCGAATTAAATGAAATGTTGAAATACAGCATCGCACAATAGACCTTTCAGGCCTCATGCTGCTAGCCATGAATCTGCACTAACGTGCTTGTTGGAACTGAGCGAGACGAAAGCCGCAAGCACGAAATCTCATGAGAGCGAAAGGAACTTTCCCAAAAGGGCATTTTTTTCAGCAGAGCAAAAACGTTTGACGCTGTGCTAGCACAGCGCGCAAATCGAACGCATGCGTGGGGGAATCCTCAAAAGTTCAAACAGCTAACAAATCAATGTGATCAAGAGTTCAAAGTGCACCACACGATTATGAACACAAAATTTTCAATGATGACAATGACAGCGATTTTCCTAAAAAGGTGCGCAAAATCTCCATAGATATGCGTTATGACTAGTTCTTCGAATGAGAAACTAGTCATAACGATGATTATGTACAACTAGGAACTTCATTCATTCATCCTTCCATTCCCGGAAATCTCAGTCTTTCCTAGTTGTACATAATCATCGTTATGACTAGTTCTTCGAATGAGAAACTAGTCATAACGATGATTATGTACAACTAGGAAAGACTGAGATTTCCGGGAATGGAAGGATGAATGAGTTTTTTTAGTTATAGATGGTACTGTTTGGATATAGTGGTGGAACGGACGCATATTAAGCACAAATGCTTACAAGAAAAATTTCGTTAGTTAATTAGTTCTTACAGCATTCAAAGAATAAAAGCTAAAAGTCTAGGAAAAAGAAGGAAAAAGAGGAGAAAAATGCGCAAACTGAACAAATAACGTTTTTTAAACTGCGCCACGTTCCTCACGTACGTGGCATATGATTCGACGCGCAATTTATGCAAGGACTTGTGAATCACTTTATTTTCTCCTTCACGTTTATAGTCGAGCGTTAAGTCACATAATGATTGAGCCACAATTTTGTGAATTTTTAGTTGATAACTCCAGGGGAGATTGCTAGCCAATTTTTTTTGTTGAATCCGGTGCATCATCTCTCAAAAACCTCTCGAAAAAGATGAGAAGAAGAGATGGAATGTTTGGCTTTTTTGCGATGCGAAAGTGCCAATATTAGTCGCAGTTACGGACAAAGTCGGGGTAGGGGAACGAAAGCCGCCAGCTTCGGGCGCCTGCGCGGACTGCTGGTCCTGGAACGACATGCAACAACGTTGCGAAAGGACCAGTTAGCCGCGAAAGGCGGCTCAAACTGGTGGCTTTCGTTCCCCTACCCACAAAGTCGCGGGCGTTTGTGCTAAGGCCCTGACCAGACTTCGCTCAAAAGCGCCCAAATGCGCTCAAAAGCGCGCAAAAGCGCTCAAATTTCTCTGGTGTCTCTTCACTTTCTCTTGTGAGGAGAGATGAGAGAGACTGAGGACAGATTAGAGAAGTTTGGGCGCTTTTGCGCGCTTTTGAGCGCTTTTGGGCGCATTTGAGCGAAGTCTGGCCAGGGCCTAACCGAACAAATTACTTAGGAGCGACGCGGCAAACCTGCGCGTGTACGACAACTCATAGGCGGCGTTCCGTTATAGCTGCTAATGCTGAGTTTTTAGGTCATTTCGAGAACTATAACATAAAATATTGAAGAGAATTGTTGGGGTATAAAGAAATGGCCTCCATCCAAATCAGATAGGAGATTACTATAATATATCAAAAATACTTTAGAGCCGGGAGGGAACCGCGTTGTTAAAAAGTTGGCACCAAGCTCTTTCAGCAGAATCGCACAAAGCTGTGCGATTGTGCTGAAAGAGTTCAGTCGGATCACGGCGTACGTCAGACAAATCCGAAACGAAGAAAAAGCTAATGCGATAGCGCACGCAAGTCCTCAATCGCCTCTTTTATTTGTGCGTTCTTTGATCAATCAAAAGGAATTGAGAGAAATCGAAAACACTAAATGTCGTGTTGACTGCAACCAAAGGGAAAAGCGATCCAGTGGCACATGGAACAAGATGCTGCGATGACACAGGATCGAGCAAGGTCCTTCATTCTAGTCAGTTTGAGGGTTAGCATAGCGCTTTTGCGGTGCTGACAACACTTGCGCGTAAAAAACGGCTATGGAGCGCAATTAGTTGTGCTCCATGGCCATATCTCACGCCCGAGAGTTGTCGGTATCGCAAGCCTGCCTACAATGATAAACTTATCATTTATTCTTTGACTAGGAGACGCGAGACCGCATTGCGGACATTCTCCTAGCAAGTTTGAATTTGTTCTTCCCTGTTTCCAAAAAGTGAATAAACCTAGACAAGATAAATAACAAGTATGAACCTGCTAAGTACACGATTAGGCTTGTTTAGGCAATGTGTGCAATGCGGTTTCGCGTCTCCTAGTTATAGAACGAATGATACTTGATTGTACCTAAATATTGATACAAGATTCTGATATAAATGAATACTGTAAAAAATTCTTTTATTCGTGATTTTCAAAGCAATTTCACAGTCGTTGATGCAAATGGAAGCTACTACATTACTGCCATTATGTGCCGCTGCACCAGGATGTAAACAGATCGATGTCTTAATTGTCACAGTGTCTCGAAATTTTATGGATGACTGCGTCTGGTACCAGAAAAAAGAGAACACACCTAAAAAAACCTTCCAGCTTCTAATTATAACCAGCTTTTGATTATTGAAGCATTAGTATTGTTATAGCCTTACTACTATTGTTCCAATATATTAGTGTTAAAGAATTCTTGCGAGTTGGAGAAATGGAAGTCAAAATTGATTCACAGAGGAGACAACGCTCAAACTGAGGACATAATCTCGTAGTTTGAATAGCTTCGCTGGCTGCTTTGTCCATTTCACTGCGACTCAAAGGCATACTACCGCGTCGCTGCTGGATGCGGCGTGACTCCAGTGCCTTCGAGTTGCGTGCACCAAGTTTATTTGCAGCTGATAAACCATATTGCTGCAACAAAATAAATCACCACTTTCCCTACATTTTCATGATTTAATTTTTTTTTGTCATACGAAAGGCACCAATTAGAATGAGATAAACAGAATGGATATTGGATAGGCGAAGAAACATGAGAAGTGAAGTACTAAATACTTATGCATGGGTAAGTGCACAAATGCAATGCGCTTGTTGCCGAGCAACCAACGAAAGAAACTGTAAAAAAAACCTTAGACTAGAGCTCCTGACTCAAAGTCTTGCACAAAAAATTTCTAAAAATTCATTTAAAAAGCTCAGAGCAGCGTTTCAATTTGTATAAAGTTTTTATATGCAGTACTTTATATGTACAATAGAAATTTTGTTCCTAAGTATCGAGAGTCGAATTTCTTCTTAAATTTCAGCTTCTCATAGAGACGCCCTCTCAGCACAAAATTATCTTTCAAATAAACCTAGCTGATAAAACCTAGATAGAACATAAAGCAAATAAATAAGACTAGAAATTCTTGGGCCTTGCAGCATTTGTGGGGATCGAAAACTGGAAAAACGCAATTTGACAGTTTGCCTTCAACTGGTTGCCGCGATATGATAGAGGAGTCTTGCTGAAAATATCCAGAAAGAACAACGTTTTCTCTTTCTGAATCATATACAAACGGAATCATTGTACCAGGAGGCAGTGGCGTACCCAGGATTTCGGCTCGGGGGGGGGGGGCGACAAAAATTTTTTTTCTAAAGAAGGTGCGTGGCCTTAGCCACGCACTCCGAAAAAATTTTTGGGGTGCTTCTCAAAATTTTTCCGGGTCCCCGACCCCCCCCCCCCCCCGAAAAAAAATTTTTTATAGGGCTAAAATGAATTTTTAAAAAATTTTAAAAATTATTTTAATTATTTGTAAAAACAAGTCACTTGCACATTTTTATAACCCATGTAAGTAACTTTCAAAAATTTCGCGACCCGTTCTCGGGGGGGGGGG